CGCCCAGCCTGGTGTGATGGGCGGGGGCCAGGCGGGCGGGGAGTAGTCGGGCTTTGCCCCGTAAGTGGGACTTTGCTGGGGGTGACTCACAGAGGTTGCAGGGTGGGCCGGTCCGGGGTGCTTCAGTCCGCCTCTGTGCAGTCTTCCGCTGGCTTTCCCGGCCTTTGCCGTCTGGGCCATTAATTTATTCCCTCAGCTGGGCCTGGGCACTCCCAGGAGTCCTTCTCCGTGTCGGCCCCAAAACCTCGAGCCTGCTGCCACTTGTTTGTCGATGTAGGATCGTTGTTGAAAGAATTATTCGTCCTTTGTTGCTCTTGGAAATGCAGTCAATACTCTGGTATCAAAGCACACAGCTCTCAGGATCGCGCGGTTTCCTGACGCGGCCGCTCCAGACCCGTCGCCATCTTTTCTCTCTCATGCTAAGATTCTCTGTGAAGCCATGACTTCCGGAGAAAATTTGAAGTTCATGAATGTACTGGGTTCATAGCTGGCACCTAATTTCAAAGGTGGAAAAGTATCACTGGGTGTGTCTGGAAAAGTCAGCTCTGAAGTCCCTTTGTGGTCACTGAAATGTCAGCTGAATTGAGACTTATAGGTAGAAAATCCTGGGGTCAATATGGTGGACTAGAGGTGCCCAGTGTGCAGTCCTTCCACAGAAGAGGTCTGGAGCAAGGGGTCAACAGCCTGGATCAGTGCAGCAGAGATTCTCCAATTCTGAAGTCCAAGATCACGAGGTCCTCATTGGCGAGGCCCTTGGTGGTCCATCACAACATGGTGGGGGATGTCGCATGGTGAAGAGTAAGAGAGAGCCAAACCTGAGTTTCTGAGACTGAAAAGTCCAAAGTCAATCTGGTGGTGGCGACAGTGACCCATGGGTCTCACATTGTAAGATGGTGGAAGCAGAGGGAAACGAGAAAACTGAACCTGCATTTTAACAGGGTCTATAGACACTCTGTGTGCACAGGGAGAAAATGACCCCCACCACGGCCCTCACATTGAGTCTCACCCTGGCTGGACATCATTGTCACTTGTGCAGCCACTGAGGCAGCATTTCTGAGGTGTCGTCCAGGATTCTCAAAATCTTTATAAAGTTCCCCTGGTTATTGTGATGTACAGGAGGAGTGAAATCCCTGTGACAAGAGTTCCTGGTGCAGACCCCTGGCTTTTGCTCTGAAGGGAAAGAGAAACAGATGAGAGTTCTGAAGGGGGGGGCTGTCTGTGCACCCCAACCTGTACCTGTGCGGGTGGCAGGACACTGAGGGCCCAGGACTATGCTTGTTTGGCCAGTGCTGTGTGTCTATATTTGGTGTGTCTGTGCGTGTTAATGCAAGTGTGCATCTGTCTCTCTGTGTGTGTCTATGTGTGGTTGTGCATGTGTGTATCTGTGTGTGTCTGTGTGTGTGTCTGTACATGTATGGGCAGCTGGAGGGAAAGTCATAGCTGAAGAACGCAAATGTTCTCAGCAGTTCCTAATGAACCCAAATGTACACAGATGGGAAAAGGGAAGAAGGAACACAAGAGGCAGGAATAACAGAGAAGGGGACAGGGAGACCTCCTGGGCAGAGACTCCATCCCCATCCCATGTGAACCTGGGAAGTGCTCCTTCCCTGTGTCCAGGCTCAACACAGATGGAGAAAGGACAGCAGAGCTGACCCGTCCCAGCTGCAGTGCTGTGAGTATTTCTAGAGCCGAAGCTCTTCTCCACAGAGGGAGGACAGAGCAGGCAGCAGAGACCATGAGGCCCCCCCCAGACCCTCCCCACAGAAAGCACATCCCCGGGCAGAGCCTCCTGCTCACAGGTGAGAGGGGAAGG